CCCCAAAACCCCAAAACCCCAAAACCCCATTTAACTAATCTGCTAAAATTTTAGGAAAAATTAATAAAGTTGAAAATTAAATCATTATTAGTGAAAATTCTCAGTTACATAGAGTTATATTTTATCAAATCTATTCATAAAATCCTTAATTCAAAAGTCTTCAAATATTTTGTTTATTCTTAGCAGGTGGTAATCACCTAAGACTTTGCTGCTGGGAGCAATATTTTTACTAGGACTATTTCCGTTACTCGAATTGAAGCCTCTGCTCTTTTTACTATAGTTTAGAGACTAAGATTAGGGCAAGTTCTCTGGAATGTTTAAAAGCTGCTTCTTAGGCTCATCTTCCATTTACCTCTGATTGATTAGACTGCCCTGGGATGGAGATTAAAGTAATTCATAGTAAGTTGCTGCATCTGGAATATACTAAGGAGAAGACTATCTTAATTTGACTTTATTCCAGTCAACGCCTTTGAAAAATTTGTGATTCATTATATCATCAAGTTCAAATCTTTGATCAGGTTCATAGACCAAGATATTCTTGATAATGTCTCTTGTCAGATTATTGAGGTTTTTAGGAAGGTTAAGTTAATTGTTTCTAAGCTTGCACATAACTGGAGAAGTTGGATCATAATCCTCACTGTTTCTAAAGGGAGTAAAGCCTCCTAGCATTTCGCAAATAAGGATCCCAATACTCCAAATATCTGCTTTATAAGTATAGCCTTAGCCTGTCAATACCTCGGGTGCTACATAGCCTGGGGTGCCACAATTTGTAAAAGCCCTGTCCTTTTTGACATTTTTAAGTTTCTTTGAAAACCCGAAATCTATTAGTTTGAGATGCCCCTTTTAATCTATTAATATATTTTCTGGCTTTAAGTCTCGATATAGCACATTCATTTCTATAATATATTAATACTGTACTTAAATTACCATGCAATTATTTAATTCCATAAATGATTTCAGCTAAGTAGAACTTTGATGAATCTTCTGAAATAGTCATTTCTCGTCTAAAAGTAAAATAAATAAGTAAAATCCTTACTTAATTAATGCAAAAAGTTCCCCACCTGGCAAATACTCCATAATAAGGTAAAGATTTTAATCATCCTAAAGAGACTCATAGAAATTAACACAGAAATGGTTAGGCTTGAACAACTTCAAAATATTCCTTTCGTTCTTTATATGTTGTATTTACTTCTGATCTCTGATAGTATCTTTATCTATGCATTTTATAGCATATAGCTTTTTATCTTTTGTGCACTTGGCAAGTTTAACAATTCCAAATGAACCTTTTCCTAAATCAGTTATTATTTCGAATGAATCTATCCCGAATTACTTGTTCTACTTCAGCTTAGTTATTGGTTTCTCAGGAGATGAACTATTCAGAACCAATTGATTTATATTATTTTCAGTACTAATTTTGTCTTTTTACTGTAAAGTACCCGAACTATCAGTTGTTACTACTATTCTAAGCTAGCTTTACTCTTTATTCCTATACTATTTGCTAGAGCTTTATAGGTTGAATTTCGGAATGGGTATACTTTCCTAAGGTTGGCTTGACCTTCTTTGAGACAGTGGACCCTTATCCGGACTGATTATTTCTTATCCAGTATAGATGAATTCATTTTTTGGCTCGTGGTCTCCAACTGTTCCTCTTCTAGATGAAATTAACCTTGATTTATCTTTGTCTTGAGAGGTATCTTTTTTACTCTTACCAATGACATCAATACTAGATTTATTTGAGAATCTTAGATTTTGCTAGAGATGACTTCTGATTACCTTTCTAGTAGGTTCTTAATTATACCTTTGCTATTTAATTGGGGAATTAACCTATGTTAAAGCTTAAATCTAATCTCCGAGTTAGCTCACTGCTTTAATGGGCGCTTACTTAGGCAAGTGATTATTTAAGTTTTTAGTCAGAATTTGGTTTTTCTGTTCTTTTAGCATTGCAACCTTAATCTTGTAAGTATCCAATGTTGGTATTGTTAGTTTCTTTTGGCTTTATCCAATATCTGGCATCTTGATGTCATACTCATACTCATTTTCGTTTAGTTACTGTACTTTTTTAGTCTAACTTTTAAGAAAATAATTGGTCTTCTTAACAGATGGCTAAGTAGCCTATTGATAAGTACTAAGCACTTGCTATAAATTATGCTTTCTTTAATTTATTGGGGATACATTGTAGCCAAAATCGTTGTTCGGATAGTTACTTTTTAACTTTTATTCAATAATTTGGATTTTGTTATAATTTAGCTGATTTGTGCTTTACGCTAAAAGTTTGTCCTCAAAGATATGATTATTGCTGTTCATATTCATTATATTGTCAATAGATTGCTTGATTTCTTCCTTTGTGTCCAAAGTACCTGATTCAGTTCTTAGTTGGCTTTTACTTTTCATCTGGTTTTTAAGAAGCAGTTAATTCCTCTCTGTGAGATAAGGAAGTATAACTCCTACTTTCTAATCATGAGTAGAATTTGTAGCTTGAGGTAGCTATGAATTGAGATAATTCTAGAGTGAGGCTGATTATGTGAAGCCTGAGGCCATTGATACCTATCCAGAGAGTACAAGAGGTTTCGATAACTTAGGATTGTCTTTTTTGCGTGTATATATGTTCTGCATCTTCTGATGCTGATCCTACAACCTGTTACTTATGATAGGCTTTATGTCCTTTTTCGAGGTCAAGTTACTCTAATTTTGAAGCTGTCTCATTTATTGATGAAGAACAGGAGTGGGATTATTTTTCCTATTCAAAGTGCTTTGTGTATGCTAATAACTCTATGAAATTATACTTGACTCGCTAAACTTAGATTTTTCTTTGAGAAATGATTTATAGTCCTAATCCTAAGAGTTCATCAGGCCCTCTGCTTTATTTGATTTGTTTAAGTTCTCATCAGGATTGATCATACAGTCGTCGGAATTATCATTTCTGGAAAAAGACGCACTTTTTCCACTGTAGCTCTCTGTTCTATATTTTGAGATATTGGAGTTTTCCATAGCACTCAAGTTATTCTTATTGTTTGTTAATGAATTCGTTCCTTCTAAAATTTTATCCATTCCAAATATTATTAAAATTCAGAAATTATCAAAATAATCTATCGCTCCATACTTCACCTCTACTCTGGTCTCTTGGGGTTTTGGGGTTTTGGGGAGATCGGAAG